TGAAAAACTAAGAAACCAACCAAATTTCAGGAGTTTTGGGGGTGGTACGGGGGAAGCACAAGGGGTGGGAGGTCGAAAACTTAGATTCTTAACCACCCGATGACTGTCTATGACATGCAAAAGAGATTGGAACTACTTCTCATTTTGCAAGTTAAAACCCTCTATTCCCTGGACTAATCTAGAGCGAATCGGAATATAAAACAAGTCACATATTCTCTAGATGTCCCTCGAAATCCGAGTATGTTCAAGGGTGTTCCATGGGTTTCAGAAGATGTCTGATGGATTATCCATGGACTTACAAATTAAATGGACGTTTGGTGTACAAAACTTGTATGATTTCGCTCTAGGTGCATTTTTAACAATATTTTGGTGTCATGTAAACGTTGTTTAGGTCTGAACACCGGAAATGATGACGGGACACCCTGTATTATGAGAAATATTTCAATTTCGTAGAGTAAATCGGGGAGGGGGGGGGGGGATCATATACGAAAGCACCAAGCACCGAATTGGTATATTGCATTTGAGTTTGTATTTCGGTAGTGTTATTTTTTTTCCTTTTAGATTTTTTTTATAATTGCCTCGGTTTTGGTGCTGATAACAAGAGATGCAAGGTTGTGTGCATTATTTTCCCCGTAAGTGGCGCGTTTCTTCGTAGCGGACATTCTCTAATCTAATTGTAATTGGCGGATTATTTCTAAATACTGGAAGAAGGAGTTTATTGTTTGATGGAGGTGGTGTTTCGTTAAATACTGCAGACAACGAAAAAACGAGAATGAATACTAACTGGTTTTTTTCGCGGTTGGAAAACGTACGTCTCTTTTAGGGTATTTATTGAAGACGCAGTTTGTCCTTTTCAAATTTTTGTACAGAGGAAGGTTGCTTATCGGTTGCTTAATTGAAGTTGTTTAAGGGTTGGGAGAAGTTTAAAGCGTATTAAAAAAGTTAAAGTTGACGTAAAGGAAGCACCGTGAGGTTTTCTTTTGAGGGGGTGTCTTAAAAATTAAAAGTTATATCGCACTAGCTGCCACCAAGAATTTTTAGCGTAAGCTTTAAGAATTACAAAAAATGCCACCGCCCACTTCAACGGTTTTGAACCACTTTTAGGGGAAGTGACCTACGGCCTACAAATCTTGTTGTTTTAGGGAGGGCCACCCCGATTAATTATTTCCCAAGATGCCGATTCTGAAAGCATCAGTTTTACATGGGACAACCCCTTAGATTTTACATACGCAACGAGGTGCCATGTAGGCATGGGAATTTTTTTTTGATATATCGATAGGTATCGATAGTTATCGATATATCGAATAACAATAGGTAGAGCTAAAAAAATCGATATATCGATAGATCGATACCTATCGATATGTCGATAACTACGTAAAGGAGTACTATCAATACTGTCGCTCATATTCACAGTAAGTCTATAATAAATTGTTACGGTTTTTGTCCTTACTTTTTTCTTGTGTTTGTTTCTTTTAGACGTGAGCAATAGTCGTATTTACATACGATTGTAATGTATTGCATGTATTTATTTCTACTCCTCGAATAAATATCTTATCTTATCTTATCTTATTGATATATCGATATGTCGATAACTATTGATATATCGATAGGTCGATAACTATTGATATATCGATAACTCTTGATATAACAATATGTCGATAACTATTGGTACGATAAGATTATGTTATTGTTGAGATTTCAACGAGGGCTACTATTTTTATTAATAAAATCCATTTTCGGGTTTACTCTCGTGTAAAGTTACTATTTTTAGTTGCGCGGCGTTTCGGAAACTTAACTATGCTCCATTTCTACTATCATTCATACCAAATCCACGCAGTAATAAAATCTTTAAAAATTAGATCTTTTCTTCTTCAGTAACACACCATCTGGACACTGGCCATTATACTGCACCAAACACTATGAAAGAAACGATAGTTTCCGAATTTCGCAAATATGAAATAAAATACTTATCGATAAATAAGTAAAATATATCGATAGGTGAAAACAGTTATCGCCCATCCCTAGCGATAACTATTGATATATCGATAACTATCGACATATCGATATATCGACAGTTATTGATATTTCGATAATTATCGATAGGTATCGATATATCGATAACCATCGATATTTCGATAATTATCGGCATATCGATAAGTAAAATATATCGATAGGTAAGTACCCGATACTCATCGATAGGTGAAAACAGTTATCGCCCATCCCTAGTGCCATGTAAAACTTTCAAAAATGGGGGACAGGGGAACGTTCCACCTTTCATGGTGTTTGAATGAAAGGTCTCATCGAAAGGAGTTGGATTCTGCAAACAATAACTGTCCTTCACAATTCCTTTTCAAAGATCAGCGGGTGGGTAGAGGGAGGGGAAGCAGAAATTGGTTTTGTCCTCGGTTTTGTCTTTCATAGTACTGTAATGAAAGATCCCAACGGAAGGAGTTAATTTCTACACACTATCGCTTTCCTCCACGACATATTATAGGAATCTGGCCCTTACGTTTTTGTAATTGGGGAGGGAGGTGGGGGCTAAAAACTGGTATCATCCTTCATGGTATTCTAATGAAAAGTCTCAACATCAGGAATTAATTCGTCATATCCCGAGAACAGTGTCGCACTAAAGTACACACAAAAGCAAGAAAGGACGTTTGGACTTTAAGTGTGAATACCTCGAAAATGGAATGTCTGAGGAGAGTACTCACAAAGGACTGTTAAAGCATCTGGCCAAAGCATATTTATTGGAGACGTCAAAATCACATGAACGGACAGCAGGGGGTACTCACAAAGAGAAAATGGAACGTCTGTACAAACATATCTACTGGGTAAGTCATAAGCTTAAGTGCGAATATCTAGAAAACGGGATGTCGGAAAGGGATACTGAACAAATGGAAAATCTGGACGAAACAAAGCTTTTGAGTGCGACTATATCGAAAACGGAGTGTCAATGAGAGTACTCAAATAGAGCGATTAGAACGTTTGATTATCACCGAAGTAATAACATATCTGTTGGCAAGGTCAACATGAATATATCGAGAACGGAGTTGGAGGACGGTACCAACGAACGAAAAGGAGAACATTTGGACAGCAGTTGGTTGTGCGGCGGAGCACCGTTGTGTTGAAACCAGCGTAAATTACGTCGTGTTTCCAAATCTAACCCATCATTTGGTAGAAAATTAAGATAACGTTGAACTGTCCAATTTTCGTCCAAGAATTTGCGATCCAATAATTCCGCACCAAGCATTAAATCCAAGTTTTCATTGAGGCCTTCAACAATGAACAATTTTGTTTATTTATTGTTTTCCATGGCATGATACCTACTTTTTATAGTGTGTTGAATATGATTATTAATTTAACTTTCATAGTGAATTTTCGAAGATGGCCTTTAAATATGTTACATATTGTGCCACAGTTACACTATCTATCTAACTATAGATATTGTTTTTCATGATCTATCCTAAATCTGTAACTGGATTTTTTTCAAGAAACAAAAGCATATCTTAAATAAGCTCTTAAGCTCTTCCTCATTCGAAACGGAACCACAGTCACTGGCAATCCTGAGAAGTCGCTGAATTCATTAGCAGTTCGTTGACTTTTTTGGAGAGTCCAGGAAATTCTTTGGTTTTCCCACGAAGTCGATCAAATTGGTTGGAATTCTGTAGAAAGGGGTATTTTTGTTTAAAGCGTGACACCCCTCGCATCTCCCCAATGAAACGTTCGGTAGATGTTCCGAGATATGGGCAGAAGGGGCAGAGGTTGGAACGACCAATCCATGAATCTAAGCTATTTTCCTGGCAAATAACGTTACTGAGACACAAAACGGAAACGGCTGTTTTAGTCTCAGTGGTTATTCTCTTTTAACCCTTGATTTAGTTGATATATTTGAAATTTAATTGTCAAACGACGCTGTTGGTAGATGCAGATCGAGATGCAGATAAAGGTAAACTTCTTTGGTGAAGCTGTATCTTAAATGTACTTTATCATGAGCAGCGATAAAACGAACATTTTTGTAATCGTAATTAATTTATGAGATCTCTAAAAGTAGAAGGGGTGAAGACTTTGGGGATCTCGCTATATGTACAACATCTTATCAATCGAGTTAGAAAAGTAAAATAAACCATGCCTTCAGGGATTAATTTATAGTCTCAAATTTAGTATGGGAAGCTAATAGCGTTCGTCTACAAAATAAATATTTTGTTAATATGTAGTTGTAAATACAGATCAATATTTGTTATTCTATCGGTGTATGAACGTTGTAGGAGTACCTATGCGAGTAAATGTTACAAGCGCAGCGTGAACGATAAGGACAAATTACTTACCGCATCTTTTTTGCTCAAAAATGGCATTTCATTTTAAAGTTTTTCATTAAGAATGAATTCCCGTGGCTAGCCATGCATTCAAAAACTGAATATCTTTTTGGCTTTTTTTTATTTTTCCAAGGAGTCTATTAAGCACCGATAATGGGCAATTATCCAGGATTCAAAAATGATCAAATATTCAAAAAATTCAGCGGTAACTTCCGAAGCTGTCCTATTTTCACTTTTTTTTATGGCGAAAGGTCTAAAAACGCATTCCACTGACCTACCCACTCACATTATTCGAAAACGCGTGGACTGGAATTTCAATTAACCTACAACTCAAAATGAACAAATTCAAAAACGTATACGCAATCAATACCAAAGCTTGTCGATGTTAGATGAATTTTTAATAAATACTCGCTTCACTGATAAACAATTATAAATTCAGACCTTGGTGGAGGTTATAACCCGTCAAATCTCCCATCAAAGCTTTCGCCCCCTTCGCCTATCAATATTTTTACGTAATATTCCAACTAATTACGGCCATGAATATTCATTTAATACGCAAACTTTCTACAACATATTGTTCCATTTCGAATGTAACGATTTATTGTTGCAACAAGCATAATTACCGTTGCGGTAAAAAAATGGGTGGCTTTAACGAAAATACTACGGGTGCTTGGAACTTCCGCTTACCTGCTTAGTGAAGACAGGTAGGAATATCCGCTATTCAATATAAAAGCAGGTTTGTTCACTTTAAAAATATAATAAATAACACCTCATCACTAGATACACAAAGGGCATATTTGTTTTCATTTAATTTCCCTCAAAAATGACAACACGTATCACGTTCACAAAACCCTCCAAATTTCCACCCCCGTTCACTTAGAAATGGCGACCAGCAACCTCGCGCCGCCAAATCGCGTGCATATCTGGTCTCGATGTAACCGACAAGCGTAGAGATACGTGGGAGAGGGATGGCGAAAGAAATTATTGTAGATCAATACGGGGGACAAGGATAGCTCGCTTCGGAAAAAGAGTAGGGTAGATTCTTGTATTTCTCTAACAAAAGCCCCGCCACGCATCGCTGATGTTACGTCATAAAAACACCTTATAAACTTAATACAGTTTACTGACTGAGTTAGACTAAACCGAAACCTGTTTTGTTGTAACTTGTAGACCTATTATAGTAGAAAAGCGTTTTTATCATTGGTTTCCACAATTCTCATTATACCGGAAGCAATTTCATCCTACTAGAGGTGTTTACGTTCAAATCTTTTGGGTCATTGCACACTCTGTAGGGTAGTAAATGAAAATATACAGGACAAGGGTATTTGAACTTCGGCCAAATTCTCTGTAGCCATTTCGCCTTTGTGTCTCCAACAAAAAGTGTATCAGTAAAGCAAACAGTTAGCCTTCCCAGAGATAATTTGCTTTGCCGACGAGAGTTCAAGAATCAAATCCTTGAACGAAAGCATTTTGGGATTTTAATGAAAAACGAGTAGGATGTCAAAAGTCATATTGAATTTATTATGGCAACGAAACTAATATCTTAGGTCGCTGTCGATTAAAAAGAAGTAAAATTATTGTACTTTGCACAACTAAGAAATAAGATACAGTATAGTCAAAATCCAAAATTTCCGAGTTTTATCTGCACAGACAGACATGCGGACGTACGAAGTTCTATAGCAGACCGTTGCAGAATAATCAAAAACAGAAACTGGACTGTTGAGATAATTTCGTTAAGTGAGTGTTCATTTCCGGATCTGGATTCACTACTTGACTTGAATTGAATTGAAATGCAGTCAAGTAGTGGAAATTTAAGTCAAGCCAAGTAAGTAGGTACTCATGATGACAGCTAAGGTACTTCAATGTCAAGCTACTTGAATCAACATATGACCCAGGTTGTAACTAACACTGTTTACAATTGACGTACAAAGATTCTTCATGCAAAAAAATATTACCTTTTATATGGACAAAATAACGTTTTTTGTCGTCCAACATGATTACCATAACATTAATACTACAATATTCAGTTTCTGCCTAACCAGAAAGTGCTTTTTATTGCATTTTACAATGACCCAAACCTCAAACAGATCAAACCAGGGATCAAACTACTTTACTTTCAAAGCTTCTAGACAACCACTTGAAGTATAGGTTAACATTTTGAGCATTTTTGAGCCAAAAGCTGTTTCAAAACTTCACGATGACGATGAACGAACGGGATGTGAAACTTTTTAGTCCAAGAAAGTTACCCAAGGATCGGAAATTAATCGCGTACTTTTGAAATTTGTTGTTCACCAAGTGGTCCTGATGCACTTGATCAAAATCATAAGATTTTCTGTTAGACCTAAGGACTTTAGTGATAGCTTTTCATAATGCACTACCAAATCTTTCTTTTATAAAAAAGCACCCAATCCCTCGCCCACATAGGCCAATGAACGTGGAATATGGCGATACTGTGTCATTTTCCGCGTCTCCACCGAATCGCATAAAAATTTGGATTTAGGTTCTACTTACCCTCCACTTCAAAGTTGAACTTGAGCCCAGGGTTGCTTTTTATTTTTTAGGGGAAAAAACTACCCCTATTAGAAAAAATCTTACCTCTAAAATAGTTATAAATAAAACAATGTCATAGAATACTTTGACTCCACTGATTTGCGTGTTTTAACCAATCGCACTGAAGGTCAAAGCTTCCCTATGCTTTTTACCGCTACCTTCTTAAAATGAATACAGTATACATGCGTTTTGATGTATTAAATATGCGATTGGTTTTTTACTCATAAATCGGGTAATTTTTAAGCTATACGAAATGCTTTAAAAACCATTTTGTGCTTTAAAAGCTATAAGATTATTCAAATTAATTTTTTTAAACCCTTATTTTTGAAAGGGTTGTAGTTGAAAGGGCTCGAATGAGTCACTAATGACGAGCGTATGCAAACTTCGAACAGCCATATCTTAACCAATTTTTGTTTTACATAAAAACAAAACAAGCAAAATGTTCAGAAAAGCAAAAGCTACATTTTTGTATTCTTGTAAATTTTTCGTATCACTAATACTTTTGAAGTTATTTTGCAAAAAAAGGCAATTTTTAAAAATTTCAAAATTTTTTTTTTATTTCAAAACTACATTTTTTCAAAAATTAGCACTTTGCACCGGTCAAACTTACAGATCATATAAACAATACATAAATAACGTAAACTGTAAAGCGGTAACGCTTAATTACAATTGGGGTGCTAATTAGGTGGTGATTTCCTCGATTTTTTTACCAAAAAAAAGGACCAACCTTATTTTGAGTGTAACTCACTTAGTTTTGATGCTAGGAACTTTTCTTGAAAACAAACAGAAACGTTTTTTCAAACACTTTAAAAAAGTATTCATAAGTTTTCCCCGAAAAGTGCTTCATTTTTTGGTTATTTCACGTTGAAGTACTCGATGTGAAATTTGACGAATGAGAACCTACTTTTCTTGAGCTACAACTTTGCTTCTACTGGGTCTATAGACTTCATATTAGACCATTTTGTTTGTTTTTTTATAAGCTATATTTTTGATAAGAATGCTTTTTTCGATACAATACTTACTTTTAGAGTTATTTGCGAAAAACCGTCTGAAAACGTGTTTTTTTTGTTGAAAAATGAACATTTTTACTCGCAAATATATAACTCGAATACTATTGACTTAGTGAAAAAACTCTATAGAACAAAAGTTGCTACTCAATTTCCGGACTTATTTTGAACGTATCTTCCCCCCCCCCCCCCCCCGAGAAGGGGTGGCATTCACCCCCCAAGTAAAAGCAACCCTGGGCTCAAGTTCACCTTTGAAGTAGAGGGTAAGAGGAACCTAAATCCAAATTTTCAAGCAAATCCGTCGAGGCCGAAAAATTACACGCCAAAACGGTCATTTACTGACCTAACAGGCTTCTGGTATTAAGTTCGATGGTCATTTTCCAAAAATTATGGCGCAAGTGCTAAAAGGAATAAATATTTTGATTAAGGTTCTCGAACCGGTGGGTATGCGTATGGAATACTCCCCAGGACAGAACCGCTCAATGGCGGCACTGGAGGGTATTCCATATCCGTCAGACCTCCGGTCCTACGTCCCCGCTTAAAACGTTGAGCCTTAAAGCCTTTCCTGGTAGTTTTTTTTATAAAAGGCTACCGAATCTTCCCTTTTGAAGGAGCATTTCCTAACCCATGGACTTCTGGTGTTACGTTCGATAGTCTCTTTCCAAAAAGTATGACGCAAGCAATAAATATTTTGGGAAAGACTTTTGGACTGGGGCGGTCTGGAGGGTATGGATTCAACGTTCTATTTCCTACAACCATGAACAACATTTTCGTGCATCGGGGGTATGGGACTGGGGGGTATTTCATACCCCTCCGACCCCAGGTGCTACGTCCCCCCTTCAAAACGCTAAGGTCTAAAGGCATATCGTGATAGTTTATCATAAATGACTACCGAATCTTCCTTTTTTCCCTAACACACAGGCTTCTGATGTTGCGTTCGGTGGCCCCATTCCAATTATGGGACAAGTGCTAAGCGCAACACATATCTTGGGAGAGGTTCCAGGTTCCAACAATATTTTCGTGCAGAACCGGGATGTGTGGAGGTTGTTATGGAATACCTCTTAGGAAAGAACGTTCTACATTTTACAACTATCTTATAAGATTTTCGAATATTGGGGGGGGGGGGGTATGGCACTGGGAGGTATTCCACACCTCCCAGTCTCCCCGGTTGTACGTCCTCCTTCAAAACGATTAGTCTTTGGTGGTAATTTTCGTAAAAGATTACCGATTCTTCCTTTTTTAAAGGGCATTCCCTAACCCATATGCATCTGGTGTTACGTTCGATGGTCCCTTTCCAAAAATTACCATTATCCCTTCCTTCCATTCTTCAGGTAGCCTGCTCTCTTATCCACACCTTGTTTTAATAGATACGCCATCTTTTCCTTGATCCTATCTATCGCGAAAATCCAAGCCTTATTTCCTATTTCACCCCTCCCTTCCTCTTTCCCATTCTTCAGTTTTTTTAATTGCTCCTCAATGTCTTCTCTTGCTTTTTTGTAGTCCCTAATGTTGTTTCTTTCTCACTTGTTCCGTTCTCTCTTTTCCCCTGTTTATAATCTTCCAAAAGTCCTTCTCTGTTTTTACTTCCCTGATTTGTTCTTCGTATTCTTTCTGTTTCACCATCTTTACTTCTTACCATTTTTTTGTACTTTTTTGTTCTTTTCCTCCTCTATTTCTGCTCTTCTTTCTTTCTCCATCATTATTCTATACCTGTTTCTCTATTTTGTAGACTCTGTGTGGCTACACTCTTTTCAATTTTTTATCCCCTCCTCTTCAATTATTTGTTTCGACGTTATTGCTTTTAAACGTAGATCTTTCACCCATGTAACAACTGTTCAAAAAATGTATACATAGCGCTCAGGAATTCTGGTCAAAGTTTTCAGTTTTGAAAATCCGGTAATTATTTAAGAGTAAAGTGCTTTAAATAGATTTATTGCGCTACGATTTTTAATGCTAAACCACTATCTATAATCTATATTAAGTGCTTATTAAATTGCAAGTTTGAAATTAATTGCTCCGCTTACAACTTGATAATCAAATGGAAAATTGGGGTGTCATCTATTTGTAAAACTAATTCTGTCTGTATAATTATTACGTAGTATTCTTGTTGTGTAAACTGCAAGGGGGTCTCGTTCTCTACGATGAAATAATTCCACCGATGAGAGCTAGCCACCCTGTAATTGAAGGTTTGCGTGCTGTAAACGTAATTTGGGTTTGGCATTGGAGGTTTCAGAGGAGATATCCTGTTCAATGTTAGTCAAGGGGATACAGAATTTTGGGATTTTATTTAATTGTCATTGTAATGTTTAGTTTTTCTTTTTATTGTTTTATTGATGATTTTGATAAAATGACCCCTGCATTCATAAGCGTGACA